GGCAGCGCCCTGCGGTGCTGCCCCGCCGGCAGCGAGGTACCGGCTGCGGGGGCTTTGCTGGGCTGGGCTTGGGTTGGGCTTCGCCTGGGGTCGGGGCTCGCGTGGGGTCGGGGCTCGCGTGGGACTGAGTGTGCATGTTGGGGTTCACGTGGAGTTGGGGTTCGTGTGGGGATGGGGTTTGCGTGGGGATGGGGTTTGCGTGGAGCCCGGCTTGCACTGCTGGGGTGGAGGTGTGCTGGGGCACCCGGCGTGGATCGTCCTCCCCACCCTGCCCCCGGCTCCGTGGGACCCCACCAGTGTTGGGGGGGGGAAGCGGCACCGGACACAGCAGGAGCTGAGAGCCACCTGCCCTCCTGCACCCCTCCGGGCTCTCCCCCCACATCACGGAGAAGCCCAGACTAAATGGGGTGCAGCATCTGGGGGGTGACAAAGCCTGTTGGAAATGCAGGTCCCATATAGGGCAGAGGTGGGTTCCCCCAACTAGACCTCTACCAGCCTCCCACAGCATCCTCCCTTGTCCCAAAAGCTGGGTCCCCCCTCGTGCCAGGTCCCCCCTTTTGGCAAAGGTGACACTTCTGCTGGGGAACGTTCTGAGTCCCCAACAGATGTCGGTGCATCGCTCCGCACTGAAGAGCTCTTCTGTGAGTTAAGGTCTGGAAATTATCTGTTGCTGCTTATTATTATTTTTTGACGTGCTCATGCTGCCTTAGTGCCCCGCCATCGGCCTCCCGAGTTGTTTGTGAAGTCGGATGTGCTGTGTGTGCTGGTATCGGTGCGTCGGGGTTGCCGGAGGGTGGCAGGGACAGGAGGAAAGTCAGAAAGGCCCCGCGGTGCCAGCGTGTCCACCTACACGAGTGGCTCTTTTTAGAGGCGGCTGTGGGAGCTCGGCTGCCCGGGACCACGCGGCCGAAGCACAACTCGCTGCTGGGATGTGTGGGGGGAGCCAGTGCGGAGCTTGCACAGCCCTGGAGGCAGCAAGTGCCTTTATTTACAGCACTTGGAGGCTTGGCTGCTTCTCCATATCATGGAAAAAAAACCCCTGCATGTCTCTATATCATAAGATCAGACACTTCTGGGCTGGTTTGTGACTCTGAGAGCTCACACAAGTGGGCATGGGACAGGGAGAAATGGCAGCCCCGAGGCCCCAGGTGTTGAGAGCTGCACGTTTACTGAAATGAGGAAATTTAAGTCAGAGTCATTTACCCACAGACGCCTCCCTTCCTGTGTTTGCCCGCTCTTGAGCTCTTCTGTGCAGCCTTGCAGCACTGCTCACCATGATTTGTGCCCCATAAAACAGCCCTGCTGCTGTGACTGAGTTGCATGTTAATTCTGAAAGCAGCACTGAAAATCCCCTTTATGGCAAAAAGGGTTAAGGGCAGGCACGGAGCCACTCCTGCCCACGTTCTCATGTCCAGGCTACCAAAAGGAGACCTTCACCTTCCCACTGCTGGTGGGTGGACTGGCAGAGATGGTCTCTTGGGGATGGGGGAGCCCTCAAACCCCAGGGGTGAGCCCAGGCAGACCCCAGGTGTACATCACGGGGCTGACGGCTGCAGAGGTTTTGGGGCCGGTCCCAGGTTGGAGGTGACCTTGGGAAGCCTGTGCCGGGCTGGGTCCGGTGGGTGGATGGCAGACCAAGCGCCTCTGCGTGCCCTGGGGGAGGTGGCTTGGCAGCCTTGTCCTTCTGCAGGCAGCAGGGCGATAAGGAGCCATGGGCACAAGTGCCACAGCTGGAGCCTGGCGCGGAGCTGCGGGCACTGTCCCCAGGGGGTCCCTTCCCCTCCAGCTCCATCCACCCACACTTGGCCGCTCATGGTCACTGCTTTCCCTTCGGTCGTTCTCCTGGCATGAGAGAGGCCAAGATGCCTTCATGAAAGATCATGACTGAGGCTTGGCCGTCTTCCAGGGCTGGGGTGAATTTATTTTGGAGATATAGGAACTATATGTAGCAGCAGGAGCCAGGGAAAGGTCAGGATGCAAACCTTGAGGCTGTCAGCGGTATGGAGGGTTTGCGTACGATCTGTGGCACAGATCTGACTGTGTGAGAGGTGATTGCCATCTTGTAACACAACCAATGCATGAAGAAAAACAACAGCAGAGTCAAAGACAGGTTCCATGGACATGTACCAGTGTTGCTCTGGCTGCACTGAGCATCTGCTGTGGGGCCCGGAGAGGTTTCAGGGTCATGGGCCAAATCCTGACCCCCTTCTCCACAACCACAAAGCAAAACCTGGTCCCCAGGAGCAGTGTCGGGATTTAAATGCTCGTTTCCTGCCTCTTTGTGATTTTGTTTGCTGGTTGCATGGTTTAATTGCTTAACTTACTTGTAAAACAGGAAAAGAGGAAGAAAAACACAGTACAAAACCCCACGTTAGGCTAAAAAGCTGAAGCAGAGGCGGCAGCCGACCCAAGCTGCCCGCACCGTGCCGGCTGCTTCTGCACGGGTGCTCCCCACCACTGGCACCCTTCGAGATGCCTCTGGTTCTGCTGGAAATCCAGATTAATTCATCCATAAACAGTTTTCCTCCACACCATTAGGAGTATTTATTTCTAAGAACACAGATACATTTCTTTTTTTATCGCTAGAAGGTATTTTTTTGGCACGAGCCTCCTCCAAAGCCAAAGCCAGAGGTTTCCACGCTGAGACCTTACAGGACGGGGAGTGCTGCCGATGGCCTGCACCTGTGGGACATTTCAGGCTGTTTCTTCCCTGCGCTGAAGCTGTTCCAGCTGGAGCAGCTCCCAACCTGCTCCTTTGACACACCGCAGATACTGGGGCTGTCTTCCAGCTTTTCAAAATGCGCCGGGCGATACCGGAGACGCGGGTGCCACGTGCTGCTCTGGAAGTGGCAGTGGAAGGTGCCTCTGTATTTCAGTTTTTAGCCACATTTTGCTTTTCACCCTGGCTTTGGCAGCAGAGCTCTTCATCCCAAAGGACAATTGAGTGCTTAGGAGTAAAATTAGCTCCAGACACTGTTTTAATTGCTCCTAGAGATAGGAGGGTTGCCTCTTGTAGCCTCGGGGCAGGTATTTAGATTTGTCTGCTGATGCCGGAATACCTCTTGATCCCTTTAGCCATTTCTGAGTTAACTGCACTTGTCTCAAATCATGCTCCCTGAGCAATGAGGGGCTCTGAGGCCCTGTCCCGCTGGGTTGGGGGCATGGGCAAGTGCCCTGGGTCCACGCTGGGGACATTGCCCATGTTATGGGGGTGACCAGGTGTTACCAGCCCTGGATTCTCTGTCCTTGGGCATCGCCTTCGCCAGCGAGTGGGACACACGGAGCAGAGGCAGTTTGGTTTGGGCAGGTTGGGGTTTAGGGGTCGCTCCTGGAAGAGGATACCTGTGTCCTGCTCCTGGCACAGCTCAGATCATCCAAAACCCGTCAGGGTTGTGTCACCCTGCTGTGCCAGGACGGTTCCCCCTGCACAGCCTTTGCTTTGTTGCAAAGCGGGGAGGAGCTTTTGAGGTTCCCATGGTGCCCCCAGGCTTGCAAAGCCCTGACTGTCTCATCCATCCACCCCCCATCAGACTCCAAAGCCCAGCACAGGACACGGGGTACATTAAATAGCAAGGGGGTGCACATCAGCATGAGATGAGTGCAGGAGGCAAGCTGGAGACCCTGGGGACCCTTTGCAGGCAGGGCTGCCGGGGCTCAGCAGCATCCCAGGGCACCCCATGTTTTCAGGGTGAGCCGTGGTGGCAACAAGAACAAATCCTGCAAATCCCAACTGTCTGGTACCTCCTTACCCTGCCTGGGCCGCGTTCAACGCCGCAGCCACTCACGCCATAGAAGGGAAGATAAAGCCGTGGCTTCCCAGAGGTTTAGAATTTTCCTGCGCTCTCTGGCAACCACACTTCCCTCCAGCTTCAGAAGGGGGGCTGGAGGGGAGGTGGAGGCAGGGACGCCTGTTTGCTTTGCCTCGCTTTTTTCCCAAGCCAGGCTCCCTAATCTGGTCTGTATTTGGCCACGCCGCTGTGACGGTGGGGCCAAGCCAGGCTGCAGCCGCACAGCAGGGTCCCTGGCTGCCTGCAGGCTGCAGGGCTGGTCGCGTTAGGGACCAGTATTTTTTGGGGTGGCAACAGGTCTGCAGGTGAATTCCCTCCCCCACAGCCCTGCTCAGAAACACGACCCAGTGACGGGCACCCAGGGCAAGATTTGCCCCACACTGGGGAGGCCGAGCGGCAAGAGCCGGCGAGCTTTGCTTCCATCTTTCAGCAACAGATAAAAATATATCCTTTTTTTTTTTTTTTAACTCCTCCCCTCCAAGCCACTAAATTAAACCCATGCAGGGCTGGAAGGCATCCCGTGGAGCTGTGTTGCTGAAGGCAGCTCCCGGCTCCAGGTTATATCAGCCCCGGAGTGACAGTGGGAGCGTGCGGGAGCTCGCGGGCCGAGCAGCACATTCCTGCGCTCCTGAGGTCATCGCTTGTGCTGCTGCCAGCCCTCGCCTGCTGCCAGCCCTGCATGGGCTGTGCCAAAGCCCAGCTGTGTAGAGCACCAGTGGAGGGGTGTGCCTGGGGTGCTGCAAGGTGCCAGGGACCAGGCTGACCTGGAGCATCCCGGGGCAGCAGGGAAGGGCAGGTGGAGTGTGGCAAGGAATTGCCACAACTGGTGCTCTGACAAGTGCTCCCTTCTCTCTCCCACAGAATATTTTGCTGCCAGAGCCTATTTTGCACCAGCACCATGTTGGGGGGGGGGGGGGCAGTGGCTGTCAATGCTGCATGTTCTGGGGTGCAGGGAACCACCACAAGCTCAGGACTGCCTGCCAGGCAACATGTGCGCACCCATGGGTGCTCGGGCTGGCAGGGGGTGACAGGTCAGGCAGGGACCACTGCTGCTTGAGCACCTATGTTTTAGCAGGGCTCAGCACAGGGTGCCTGGCTGCAGGGTGTCCTCTACCTGCAGCCACCTGCACCCCTTTGCCCCCTCTTGCTCCAGCTCCCTCTCTCTCTGCCAGAGACAGCTAAAAGTCCAGCAGCAGAGGGGACCGGCTTCCCAGGAGCTCACGGTCTTGAAGACAGAGAATGGTAAGAAGAAAATATGTATCTCCCCCCTCCGCTGTGCTTTCTCAGTGTGATATTAAGAAAGCAGGAGGACAGCCTGCCCCAGGGCCAGGGAGGATGGGGATGGTGGCTGCAGCCTCCACATGGCACTGGTGCAGGCAGACAGATGTGATGGCATCCTAGAGATGATGGCATCCATCCTCTTGGACAGACAGGTGGTCCCCAGGGCAGGAGGCCTAATGAGCTGTGTTCTCTCTGAGCCTGCCAGCGCCATCCCAATTAGTGCTAACATGCACCAGTGTGATGGCGAGTGGTACTTGTCCAGTGGGAAGAGGACAGGGGCTGAACCCAGGCCACTGCGCCGGCAGGTCGACTGCCCAGGACGTCCAAGCAGGATGCGGCTGGTGCCATTTCAGCCACATTTGTGTTGCAGCCAATGTCACCCTGTTGCCTGAGGATGGGAAGGAGAAGGCAGCGCTACGAGAGGAGTGGATGGAGAGTGGGAGACTCCTCCAAAGCCAGGAGGAGGAGGAGAAGGAGCGGCTGCGGGCAGGAACCCCTGGAATCACCCAGGACGTTAACATCCAGGTAAGTTAAAAAGGCAGGTGCTGCTGGGGGCAGGGAGCATGTGGCCAGCCAGGACTTCCCAGACAGCGACCATGGACCTGGCACATGCTGGGCTGGGCTCTCCCATTTTCAGAAGGAAGGGGTTAGGAGGGCATTAGGAAGCTGGAAGCAGTGTGGGTCTCACAGCAAGTCATGATGAGTGGGGAAGGCCAGAGCATCCCTTACACTCGGTCTGTCACCAACCTGCTCCCCAGGTGGAAAAGGGAAAGTACCTGGAACTGGAGGAACAGTTTGATGCCCTGAGGAGAGAGCACACAAAAACCCTGCAAGGTGCGTTCCGGGACAGACGGGCTCCCCACAGCCCCCCTGCCTGCCCCTGCCCCCCCGCAACTGCCAGTACACCTTCAGATTTGCATGGGGGCATGGGGATGCTGCTCCATGACATTGTGGGGCTCAGCTGGGGCTCACTGCACCGGTGTCCCTGCACCAGTAACGCTCATCTCATGTCCCCACTGCAGAGCTCCAGAGAGCACATGAGCAGGAGAAGCTGCTGCTGGCAGAGTCCCACCACAGGTCCCAGGCGGCCTTGCAGGTACCCACGGAGAAATCCCTGGGGAGAGGGTGCTTGTGGAGGGCTCAAGGACCATCTCCTGGTACATCCATGGTGCCCCGAGCTCCTTGGTGGCCACCTCAGTCCCTGGTGTGCCCAGGGACCATGCAGGCTTCTCCATCCCTGGGGTTATCAGGGTGCCATAGCCCAGCAGTGCCCCTGCTCAGGAAGAAATCCTGGACACCCCTTATCCTGCATCTTCCCCGGCTACCCTAGGAGACAATCCAGACGCTGAATTCCCAGCTGAAGTCCTTCCAGGAGAGGATGAAGCGGGTGGAGGAGTCACTCTTGAGCACAGACTACAAGAAGCACATCCAGGTGCAGGGAGGGGTGTCAGGGAGGGGACCCTCCTCTGGGGTGCTGACCCAAAGCTGGGGGTGCTTCTCTGATGGACACTGAGAGCAGGGTGGGGGAGGCTGGAGCTGGGGAGGGGGACAGAGAGGAGCTGAAGCAGGGAGCAAAGCCCTGTCTCTGGGAGGTGCACGGGCTGTTGGGGTCCCTTGAACTAAGTGAAGAGTGAAACCTGGTGTCTTGTGGGTACAAACCATGCAGGGCCCCAGCTGAGAGCACTGTCCTGGTGGGGTCATGGGAGGGGGTGAACCATGGCAGATGCCCCGAGTGCCTACCCCGCTGCAGCTGCTGCACCCCTCCTGTGCCTCGCAGGAGCACGGGAGCCCCAGCCCCTTCTGGGAGCAGGAACTGGAGAGCCTGCACTTTGTCATCGAGATGAAGAATGAACACATCCATGGCCTGGACAAGAAGCTGCTGAACCTGGAGACCATGGTGGGTTGAAAGGAGGGGGTCACAGGTGGGCTCTCCTCTTTCCATCTCTTCTCCCCACCTGAATCCTGTCCAGAAATAGCAGCTGAAGTGGAGGTGGATGGGGCCTGGGTCCTTTCTTGGAGGTTGCAATGCCACCGTGTTCCCACCGAGCCAGCATTCCCCCCAGGAGAGAAGGGGGGGAGATTCAGAAGTGCTTTCCAGCTCCCTCCTGACCCTCATGCCCCCCCTTCCAGGTGGAGAAGAACCTTCTGCTGGAGGACAAGGTGAAGACTCTCCAGCAGGAGAACGAGGACCTGCAAGTTCGCACCCAGAACCACTTGGTCATGGCAAGGTAAGTGCTGGTCCCACGTGCCCACCGGCTCCCTGGTGGCATGTCCGATGGCGACAGAGGTGGCAGCGGTGGTGGGGAATACATCACAGCGTGCAGTGCCACCAGCTGCTTTGTGGGGAGCGGAGGGGTCTTGTGGGCGCTTTGCCCAGTGTCTCTGGCAGCAGTGCTGCTTGCCCGCAGGCAGCTGTCGGAGGAGCTCCTGGCCACTCGCGGGGCGCTGGAGAAGGAGGTGCAGCTGCGGGAGCAGGCTCGTCGTGAGAAGGAGGAGCTGCTGTACCGTGTGCTCAATGGCGGGGATGGCTCCCCCTTCCCCGTGGCTGCTGGAGAGGTGCCCCTCATCACCACGTAGCATGCTGCCAACCGGCACCGAGCGCTGCCAGGGGGGCTGTCAGGGCTTTCCTCCGGGTGCCTGAGCCCGGGGCTGCTCTCACAAGTGCCTCCACTGCTGGGGCAGGACCCTGGGTCAGCCAAGCCCTTGGGGCGGCCCCGTCCGATCAGGGAGATGGAGCATTTCACAGGACACTTGCGCCTGCCTTTCCCCAGCCTGTGTGGGGCTGTAGGGAGACCCCAGCCACCCCCCTGTGCCATCCCTGCACCCCTTCCTCTGATGGGAGGCTGTGGGAGGCTTTCTGGGGGTGAAAGGGGTCAGCCAGGACACGCAGAGGTGCACTGGGCTAGATCCAACCCAGCGCTTGGCTCTGAGCATAACCAGCATCGGTGCTGCCCGGGGGCATGAGGCGAGGAAGATGAGGCAGTCACTGGTATGGGCATGAGAACCGGGAGGATGAAGAGGGCGCTGGGGACTTGACGGTGTTATGGTACCTCATTCCCTGGGGAGCATCCCTGAGAAGCGGGTGGCCGAGTCAAGGGCTGAACCACGGATTTTTTCCGGGGTGAGGGGCAGGAGGGACAGCTGCAGCTGGGTATATCTGCCACCTCCGGTGCCACCCTTGCTGTAGACCATGTCAACCCATCCCATTTTGAGGCTTGGCCTCCTGCTCAGGTTGCTCTGAGCCGATGCCACCCATTCCTGCCATTTCCAGTGACAGCAGGGCTTCCCCTGCTCAGGACCTGCCTCGCTCCCCAGGAGAGGAACCAGGTGGGGCTCCCACCCACACTCTCCTCTCCCCATCGCCTCCTCCATCTTCAGCAAACAGCTCCCAGGGATTGTTCACGCAGCCCAAGCGTGCCCCTGCTCACTGCCACGCAGATGCCAAGCCCTTGTCCCCCCGCTGCCCAGCGCAGCACCACCCACCCCACCTTCTCCCCCAAAGCTGGGCAGAGGCTGCATGCCCAGGGGTGCACATTCGGGGAGCAGAGCATCCTCCCGAGGGGGAGCAGGCTTCAGCGGCAGCTGCCAGCAGGTCACATCCATCCCTGCTCCAAGGGAGAGCATCCCCATCGGGGAAGATGTTGCCAGCATGGCTGCGGGTCAGGGCTGGATGCACACAAGCACTTTCCACTGGGCGCACAAGTGTGGTGGGACGGTCGCTGCTCCCGGGGCTGTCCCTGGGCCTGTCCCCACCCTGGGACTGTTTAGCCGGGGGGGGGGAGCTGTGTGTATGTGCGTGCACCAGGCCAATGTGCTACTGGCTGTAACAATTAAAAGTCTGTAAGAAGCAACAGCCTCAAGAATCCCATGTCAGTGGTTTTGGGGACTGGTGCGGGCGTACCTCACAGTGGGGCCATGTGCTCCGCACCTAGGGCAAGGGGGGGGGATGAGGAGGGGTGGGAGCAGGCGCCACAAAATCACACAAAGGGAGCCCCAGAGGAGGCCTCTGCTGCCAGTCCCCCCTTTTCCTGCTCCTTTCCCCGTTTCATTCATTTCAATGGGCTCAGGGCAGACCCCAACCCTTCCACCCCTGCCAAGCCTAGAGCCACAGCAACAGCCGCTTCCGTCCTTTGTGCCGATCCTTATCGGGAAAATACCAACTGAACGAGGCAGCCAGGAAGGCAACGTGGATGCAGGGTCCAGCTCTTACCCAAGCACCTCCATGGGGCTCACAAACTGGGAAATGGGGGTGTCTGTTGTGTCACACCAGTGTCCCCCCAGGGCACCCACTGGTCCATGCATCCCCACGGCTCTGGGGATGGATGGTGGGACACCCTCCAGCTTTGAAAAGTGACCTCAGGGATGTGGGGGGACACGCCAAATGCTGTAACACCAGAGCTGGGGTCATGGGGCAGGTTGCTGCCCCACAGATCCTGCCCAGCTGTAGTTGAAGGGGGAAGGATGGCTGAGCAAAGGGAGATGATGCTGGTAGCACTGAGCATCCTGCTCTGGGCACCTGGTACTGCATCCCACTCCCCCTGCGTGGGACCCAGAGGAATGTGCCCAGCTCAGGGAAAGGGGAGTTCTGGGAACCGAGGAGGAGGAATAAATGAGTCCAGAAAAGGACTTGCCCACAATAAAGAGGAAAGAGCCAACACAGGCAGTACCTTGGTGGTCACAGGGGGACAGGCAGGTCAGCCCTGCCTGCCTCGGGGTGCTGAGGCAGCGTGGAGGGTCAGGGCAGCCAGCAGAGCCTCCACTCCACTCTGACATGAGTGTGGGCAAGGGGACAGGCAGAAGTTGGGAGGCAGCAAGGAGACGTTTCAAAAGAAAAAAAAAAAAAATACCCACAACCCAGTAACAGCAGCAAAAACACTTGTCTGCTTTATCCTTTCCAAACAAAACTCCTTCAATAGGGGCTTGTCATGAGGAGTCAGGTTGCTCAGGGAGGTTCACCAGACTTGGGAGAAAACAGCTCCCAGGCTCATGTGAGGGCTGTTCCCCTCCACCGGATGGGTCGTTCAGCCCCTTTTCCCCTTGGGCACAGGGTGGAGGGAGCCAGGCACTCGGGGACCAGCCTGTCTCCTTTTGCTGCCCTGGAGCAGATGGGCACAGTACAGTCTCTTAGGGCTCTGGGGCCACCTCCCTGGCCATGCTTCCCGGTGGCTCCCGGGGGGCCGCCCCTTCGGGCCGGTGGCTCTCAGCACTGTGTCGGATCCCATAGCCAAAGTAAATGAGGAAACCTGGGAAAGGTAAAATAGGGTGTGTGTGGGGGGAGCTCCATTCTCTTTTCTCCCCTACCAGCCAAAAAGTTCCCACTCTTTTAGGCCACACATCAGATGGAGTGCTCCTACCACCCTTTGACATTAAAGTTTAGCATCTCCTCCGTCTGCCCACCACTGCTCTGCGGTCAGCAATAATGCCCTGGGCTCTCAGACCAGCTCTGCTTCACCCAAAAAGGTTGCCACCAGCTCTGGGACCATGAGAGTGGTTGGGCTTACCGATGGCCATCCAGAGCAGGTACCGTAGCCAGGCAGCCGCGCTGAGCCGGGCCATCAGGGTGCTGTTGATGGTGATGCCAAGAAGCGGCAGGAAGGGCAGGCAGGGAACCTGCAGAGACCAAGCACAAGGAATGGGGTCATGCCTTTACCCTCCGGCACTGGCTGGCCCACAGGTAGGGCTTTCACAGCTGAATTTAGCTGTTTGCTGCTTTGGTTAGTTGCCGACAGGCAAGGGGAAGCCCAGCCTGGCTTGGGGACCTGAGTTGGGACTGCAGCCTGTGCTGGAGAGGGATGCTCATGGGGGTTTGGTTGACAGGTCCTGCACTGGGGCAGGAGGTGCTGCAGACTTAAGGTGGAAGCAGTAACCCACTAGCAAAACCAATCCAGGGTGTCAGGACCAGGTTTCTTTTTACTAAAGAGCAGCTCTGATTCATGCAGCAGGCATTGGGCTCAGTTGGGGCTGCAAGAGGAGCCCCTTTGGCCTGCGAGACACGGAGGGAGGAACCAGGCAGCACTCACAGTCCCTACGGAAAGCCCTGTGAGCTGCCGATGATGCCTCCAACAGCACTTTGTTCAACATGGATGAGGTTTGTTCAACATGGGCGTTCCTTCTGCCCGACCTGAAGCAGAGGGAACAGTCGCCCCGATGCAACATAACCCTTTCCCCACGGGGCTGCAGCACTTGCCTCCCGTCTGTCCCCCAGGTCCTGCTCCCTGAGGATGGTCCCCAAGGGCTGTGTGCTCACCATGAAGGATGCTCTCTCCCGGCTCTGAGGCTGCCTCCAGATGAGCAGAGCTGCCGTCAGGATCCCCAGAAGAGGCAGAGCCAGGGCAGCAATGCACCAGGCACCCCCAGCCTGGAGGCAGGGCAGCCCGGCGGTGCTCGCCCAGCTCACAGCGATGACCAGGGTGGCTGTGGAGGGACCACGGTGGCGTGTCAGGGCAGCACTTCCCTGGGGCTGAGCCTGTCCCTCTCCTGGGGTGCAGTGCCCAGGCTGCCATGGTGGGAGGGACAAAGGACAACCAGGAGACAGGACTGGGTGGCTTGTCATGGTGGGCTTAGCTTTTCTCTCCAGTCTGGGAAGTGGAGGGAGTGGGAGGTTTCCCGAGGTCCCACTGGGGCAGCCAGCTGTGCGGCAGTCGGGAGAGGGCAGGAGGGAGCCAGGCAGGCCCTGCCTGCAGCCTGCTGCCAGGTGGTTTTCAGCAAGCAGGAACCTGCCAGCCCGTGCTACAGCAGCAATGTCCCCACGGGTCCCCCCATGCCAGCTCCCCGTAGAGCCCATCCATCGCTCCTGGCATACCTATGGTTGTCAGAGCCCAGGCCACCACAGCAGAGGATCGCGGGGTGGGATGTGGAGGCGGCCGGATAAGATGGTCCCACCAGAGCTGTACAGCTGGGACTTTCCCCAGAGCAGTGTCCTGAGTGCTGGGTCCAGGCCGATACCTGAGGAGAAACTATTGGATGTCAAGTTCAAGGTGCACCTGCAGTGCACCAAGGCTAGTGCTTTGTCCCAGGCATGGCCAACATCAGGAGTAGGGTGAGCCCTGCCCCCAGCAGTCTCACCTGAGCAGCAGCACACAGACAGCCACCAGCGAGTAGGCCAGTAGTGTGCCGATGGACATTATGTCAACCAGGGCTTTCAGGTCAAAGAGGAGGGCCAGGAGAGCTGTGGGGATGAGAAGACCTTTCAGCCTCCCAGCAGAGCTGGCAGCACCATTGCTGTGCCTATCTCAGCTGTGCTCTCCATCTGCCACCCCGGGTCCCGCTGACACCCGCTGCAACAGGACCCCAGCACCTCAGTGAGCTGATGATGCTTCAGTCACTACTGCAAAGCATCCTGCCACCTCCTGCCTGGCAGCATGGAGAGGCTGAACTGGTGTCTGGGACAGCATCAAGGCCAAACAGTCTTTACCCACAGTGAGGAGACCTCTCTCTGGGTGGAGAGATACTGTTTAAACAGCTACTGACAAGCTAGGGTGTCTGTGTTGTCCTGATGAAAAAGGACCTCCACCAAGCCCTGCTCAAGGGTAAGGGGTAGCCCAGTTGCTCACACACCTGCCACTCCTCCAGACACCAGCGTTGCCACCACCGGACACTGACGGCGACTAACTTTGGCCAGAGGTTTGAAGAGGAGCCCGTCTCGAGCCATTGCATACAGGATCCGTGGCATGGGGAACATGGAGCCCAGGAGGCTGCAGAGAGGGGAGGAGGTGGGGGAGAAGAGAGCAAGAATCCAGGAGGTGCCATCCTGCCTTTTGGGCCTCCTTGGGTGCCAAGGGAGCTCCCGTTCATCTGTACGGTCCATGACCTCCAGACCACACTGAAAAGACCATCACGTCCCTCCCCATCAGATGAGGGACAGTATTGGGGAAGTGATGTCCACCGGTCATCGGGAGCCCTGTGCACACTGAGACACGCCAGCCTGCTCCTGCGGTCACAGTGCCACCAAACACCTGACCACATCCTCCAGCTTTGGGCTATAAGTGGCATATCAAGCAGTTTGGTTGTTCTTCTTGATCATGAAGGGCCAGGCTGGGAGCTACAGGATTTGTGAGGAAGGGCTGAGGGATTTTGGCCGAGCAGGGCAGTCAGAAGGAAGGGGTCGGGGATGTGTTATAGCTCCAGTGCAGCCTCACTCTGAGCCACAGAGCTGCCATCAGAGGACTCCCCTCACCTGGTTGTCAGGGCACACAGCGAGCCCACAGCCACAGCGTACTTCGCACTGCTCCAGCCAACGTATTCAAAAGCCACTGGGAGTGGGCTCATGGTGTCCAGGAGATAGTAGGGCATCATCAGCGTGAGGGCAGCAGACACACCAAAGTATGCGAAGAAGCAGATGAGGAGTGAGAGGATGATGCCTATGGGGATGGATCTCTGCGGGTCCCTTACTTCTTCCCCTGGGGAGGACAAGCTCAGCTGTAAAGACAGATTCTCATTTAATAGCCCATATCCCCCCACGAGAGGGGACACAGAGGCCTTCTAGCAAGGACCACTAGACCTCCTGGGCTCCAGGGTTATGGGGATAGGGACTGTCCCTGCTTCAGGATTAGCCCAGTCATGCCACATGGACCCTTATAGTTCCTCCTCTGAGCACAGAGGGCAGGAGAGAGCCGGGATTTGCCCATTCCCAGCCCAGTCCTACACCAGCTCCCGGAGTTGTGGGGAGAATCACTGCCACAGCCCCATAGTCTGCAGGGAGGGGTCCCTCCAGCATCTCTCCCTGCCTCACTTACCCGTGGTAGCAATGCAGTCAAATCCAACAAAGGCATAGAAACAGGTAGAGGCTCCAGCCAAGGTCCCAGTGAAACCATAGGGCATGAAGCCTCCCACCCCAAAGGCACTGGTCACGTTGTCAGCCACAGACTGGTTCCTGAGAGGAGGAAGAAGAGTCAGGCAGTGCAGGGGGTCAGTGCAAGAGCAACCCAGGATGGGGCCAGGCTGAACAGTCCCTCAACCCGCTCACCCCTCCAGCATCAACCCAGCAGGGCTTAGGACTTTGGCTCTTTGATGCATTGCCAACAGAGCAGGGAGAAACAGGAGAATGTGAGATAAAACATTAGGGGGTGACACAGTCATCCCCATCCCCCTCTGAAGGCAGTTCAGGGAGAGCAGAGCCCCTCATACCCAGTCTCGTGGGCAGCTGCCCATGGCAGATCATCCTCCCTGAGCTTCCAGTTGCTCAGGTTGCCTTTGATGAAGCCACTCACTGTGATGAAGAGCAAGACAAGCACGTTGAGAGCTGTGAAGGCTTTGTTGACTGTGGTGGACTCCTTCACTCCAAAGCAAAGTAGCCCTGGGAATGAAAAGAGCAAAACTGGCCAAGCCCCCTGGATGTCACCAGGCCCAGGGTAGACATTAGTGGGGAGGGTGGAAAAAGGGGGACAGTGGTACAGGCAGGAGGATCTGCAAATTTTCCCACATTCCCCTTAAATTCCCCATTCTTTGCTCAGGGAAATGGCAAAGCCTCAGAGGGGTCAGCATCAGCCTGAAGAGCCCAAGGTGGGGTGAGGAGCTCATCCTACACGATGGAGGGTGGCACAGGGGGAGGCACACTACCTGCCAGCAGGACCACCAGGCCAGCAGCAAAGGCATCCGGGTATTCTGCCAGCCCCGCAGAGCTCATGGCTGCATGAGCACTCAAAAACCTCCCCATCTTCTTACCGAGGAGCTGGTCAAAGGTAGCACTCCAGGCCCGGGCAACGCTAGCGGTACCTGGGGAGAGGTGGAGCTGGGGCAGTGATGGTGGCCCTGTGGGGTCTAGGAATGACACCCATCAAAGCCACTAATGAAAAGCAAAGGTGGAGGGATCAAAAGGGTCTTATACCGATGACATAGGACAGCAGCAGATTCCACCCAGCGATGAATGCCCACAGCTCGCCCACTGTCACGTAGCTGTAGAGATAGGCAGACCCAGCCAGGGGCACGCGAGCCCCAAATTCAGCATAGCACAGCCCTGCTAGAGCAGACACCATGGCTGCAATCAGGAAAGAAAGGATGATGCTTGGGCCAGAGCTGGTCTTAGCCACTTCCCCTGCCAGGACGTAGACGCCAGCCCCCAGGGTGCTGCCCACTCCCAAGGCGACAAGGTCCACAGTGGAGAGGCAGCGGTGAAGGCTGGAGCCCCCTGAGCCAGCCGGGACTTGCTTTCTGCGGGAAAGTGTCTTCGAAACAGAGACCAGGCAGCCCCAGCACGGCATCTGCCAGAGAGGAAAGCAGCAGGTATGAGGATGCTGCTACTCCACAGGCACCACCCTGGGGATGTGACCCAACCCAGCCTGAAGGTTTTCCTTGCAGTTCCCACTGTCCACACGGTGCTTCTCGGACTCCCTGGGTGCTGCCTGTTTTCTGCCTCTGACAGAAAAGCAGCCCATTTTGGAGCAAGGTGGGGCTAAAGTGGCTGCATTGCTCTGTCTTTCTGGAGAGAAGCAGAGCAATGCATGATTGGGGTTTGCTGGACTCTGATTCATGATATGGTGAGAGGGGACAAGGACACCTGCTCCAGCATCATCCTCAGCAGGGACACACAGGCAGCATTGTCCCGGCTTTGACACGGACACTATTTGAAATGCAGAAACCAGGCCAGAAAAGGAGGGATGGGAGATGCTCTGCTCCTGGAGCAGCCTTTGGCCTTGAAGTGCATCAGGAAAGACCTGTCTGCTCAGCTGAAGATGCTCCCACAGCACCTATAACTGCGGGTCACTGGCACGGCTCAGACAGCAACTGGTTCCCTGAGCCATTAGCCTGTACAGTAATGCTGTGGCTTGCTTGAGTCACCGATGGGGACATCAGCCCAGCAGAAACCCAGAATTGTGTGATATTTGTGCTTGGGGCAAGTGAGGCGCTTGGCATGGCATGCCTGGGATTTGTGTGCCTGCCCCCATCCTGCCCGTCCTTCCCCAGGACTGGAGAAAGGGGGGCTGCCTGCCTCCACATCAGCATGGTGCTGCCAGGATCTCCGGGTTACCCCAGAGCAAAGCAAAATCCACGCTGCGTGCTACTTACAGGGCCAGGAAACCCTGCCCACGGGCACGTCCCATCCCAGCAGCCCCGAGGATCACAGGGCATGGAGCCCGGAGGGGACAGGGATCGCCCTGGGGCAGTGTCTAGCACCCTGACCCGCAGGATGGGGTGCTGTAAGCCCTTGTGACACAGGGAACCCCAACCTCCAGGACGACTGCTGTGTTTTCTGGGGGCTGGAGAGCCATTGCTCAAGGCCGGGCCAGCTGGGGCTGCCTTCCCACCCCTCCAGCAGCACCCACCCACTCCACAACACCAGTCCCACCCAGGGCATCTCAGCCTGATGATTTTCCCTTCTTCTGTAAACAAACTACTTACTCCGGCCATCCTTTGGGCAAACTGCTCCAGCTGTGAGCTGATGGGGAGGGCGAGTACCAGGCAGCCCCAGTTACACTCTCCCCTTAAATCCCTTTTGGGAGAGCCCCAGCCCTCCTCCTGCTGACCACCACTCTGAGCTGCACAATGGGAAATCTATGCAGAAATATTTTTCCCACAACGCCTTCCAAATCATACACACAAGCCTGCAATGCTAATAGGCTCAGAGGCATTATTGAGGGAGTTTAGTTAACATTTCAATGTTGCCTGTGCAGATAGAAGGGGGAAGCCCTTCCCTCTGTCCCTGCTCCCTCACACCAGGACCCTCAGCTCAATCTGTGGAGCAGGTTTTGGAGGAAACCCAAGCAGAGAGGAGCAAAAGCATGGCCAGGTCGGGATGCAGAGGTGCATGCACCTACAGCTGTGTCCATATCCAGGCTGAGCTTCCCAGGGGGACACAAAGGGAGGTGAGCAGGTCCAAGATTTGTCTGCAGCAGTGAGGCAGAGGAGACCAGACCCAGCTCCATGGGATGTTCGCAGCAGCACATCCAGCTGTAGCTCCCAGAACCAGAGTCCTGAGGCTGCCTGCACTTCTCTAGTATTTAGACACCAAGACCCCAGTTGCTGCCCACACCTTGTCACAGCCCTGCTGCATGGAGACAGCAGTCTTAGGTGAAGAAAAGAAGTACACAGTCAGCTCAAGTGCAGCTCATAGCAGGGCAGGCAGCAGCACCATCCACCACCGAGCCATCCAGCCCAGCCCTGAGAGCAGGGCTGAGGCTGCAGCTCTTAGCCCAAGCAGCATCAACCCCACCCCGGTCCCCATCCTAGCTAGGCAGTTGTCAGGATGCAACAAGACCTGGGTGTTCATCCCTGGGGAATGAAATGGTACCAGAAATAATACTGACACAGTGCCTCCCTTCTGTGGTGCAGCCCACAGGGGCTGAGCAGCAGAGTACAAGCAGGCATCAGGGTAAGTCCGGGGCTGGGCTTAAATGGGGTCCCAGGGGGGTGTGTGTGGCAGGGGTCCCAGGTGAGGCTGTTCAGGGCCAGTAAGGCATATAAGTGCCATCAGGCCCCAGTTTAACTGTTCTGTAGGGCTGCTCTTAGTGGGGAGAGGACATGGGGGATGCTATGGTGTAACCTGGCTACTTTTCAGCACTTTGGGAGAGGAGGATCAGGTCTAAGGAGAAACTGGGAGCTGGTATTTTGAGCTGAAGCATTAACTTTGATTTTACTGTAGACAGTATTCAGCATGAGACTGCTTATAGTATTTAGGGACAAAAACCTCTCAGGTAGTTCAGCACATCCTTCAGGTTGCAAGGAGCAGAGGAAGGGGCCATCAGTCATACAGAAAAAAAGTAAGGAAGGGCCTAGAGCATCTGAAGCACAGGTGTAATGCTCTAGCCACAAGGCTGCCCTGTTCTGGGTGTGTGGGGTAGCCCCAGGGCAACCTGTAAGCTGCTGGGCCAGCACCTCTGGGGCAGGGGGGCTCAGCACACCATGACACAGCTAGGGCACCGGGAGGAGAGCAGGGCTGCTGTTGAGGATTGCAGTGCAGGGTGAACAAAGCTGTGCTTGTCACCCACGCCATCTCACATGAGTGAGGTCTCCAAACACCAACGCCAGCCTCAGGGAACGTTGCCCTGAGGGAACAAGAGGGCATGAAGGAGCAGCTGGTACTAGCTGCCCATGAGGGATTCTCCCTCCCAGGGTGTCTTCAGTGCCTTGGGGGGGACACAGCCCTGTGACTGCGTGCTAGCCATTGGGCATGTCACACCCAGCCTGGGGTCCCTGCTGCCCAGGACCACCATCTCCCAGGACAGGCAATGCTGAGTTGCCTTGCAGCCCCAGAGAGATGCTCTAGCTGGTAGGTACCACCAGGGCTTGGATGCTTGAGAGGTTGGTTACATGCCAACAGCCTTCACCATCTCAAGGGGGCCTTTGGTTTTATTTTTCTCCTGCTGGAACCAGCCAGAGCACAGACAACACTGACCATGGCTCCCGGGGAGCCCCACCAGCTCCCCCAGCCCTTCTGCAACTTCTGTGCTGGCTGGGGACAGAGCGTGGTGGTGAAGAAGCAGCAGGTTCCTGGGTTAACCTGGGTGAGGCGGGGAAGGAAACAGCCTCGGGGCACTGCAGGCAGCTACAGCCCTCCTGCAGCATCTTGGAGAGGCTCAGCCTGCACCTCTACTTTCGGTTCTGCTGCAAGGTCTTCTCATCCCTGTGTCTGCAGCATGGGAGGGAAAGTTGGGGGGGACAGTGATCTGCCTCTCCCCAGCCCCCTGTGCCAGCTCAGCTCCTGCTCCATGGATGCTACTTGCAGAGCCCTGGTCAGCACCTTCCCCCTTAAGCAGGTCTTGGGGGGCCACCACCCCCTTGGCTTTTGCAGTCAGGGATGGATGTTTGCCAACCATGACCAGGGAAGGGGGTGAATTGGTGTGGGCAGAGGTGGCAGGAGCAGCCCCGGAGGCAGCGGGGTGCCCTGCACGCCAGCCTTCACCAGGAAACCGCAGCGGGGGGGGCAGAAGGGGGTGAAATTTCCGCAGACGAAGTGCAATCACCATTATCGCCTTGTGCTGCGTGTGTCACCGCTGCTGGCACTCAGCCCCTGCACGCACTGGTGGGGCTTTTCTGCCGAGTGACCCCCTTCCCCACACCCTGGTAGAGGTTCTGTGGGCGGCATCAGGTCCCCCTGCACCGCAGGCACCCAAAACCGAGGGGCTGAGCTCTGGTGTGGTGGCGAGGGTGGGATTGCGGCCCTGACCCCTGTGCCATGGCAGGCGGGGACTGGAGGGCTCGCGAGCGGTGACGTCTCACTGGAGGAAGCCGCCACACGCCAAGGACGAGCGCAGGGCCACAAGTGCGCACCGAGCGTGCCGGCGGCCGGCTGTTCCCACGAGCGCGCCCGGACAGGCCTCGGTGCTGCTCGTAAGTGTGCGCTGGCATTTGGGGGGACCGTGCTGGTGTGCGAGGGGATGGTGCTGGGGCGCAAAGCAGCGGTGTGAAGGGGACAAAAGCCGTGGCCGGGAGGGGAGCTGTGCGCAGAGCTGTGCAAGCGGAGGCTCCCTCCAAGGGGTGGCTGCAGGGGGGGATCCTTGTTTTCTTTTTCTTTTTATGAAAAAGCCTTCCTTTTCAACAAAAGCCTGGGGGGCTGCACTGCCAGCCGTTGCTTTTTCGGGTGGGCGCTGGCGTTACTGCGGGGCCCATGGGTGTGTCCTGGCCGGGATATGGCTTTGTCCGTGCCCCGGTGCTGCGGCGGCTGTGGAAACGCCCATCCCTCCGCGCAGGGGTCCGAGCTGGGCTCGGTGGAGAGGATCCCCCCGGCTCGGTACCCGCTGAGTTTTCCACAGGGAAACACACCCTACGGCACCCCAGAGGCACGGAGTTCTAGAAGGGCAAGGGGACTTTTTAGCACTGGGGTGGGGCAGGCGACTTTGGGGACATCCCCTGTCTCACAGGGAGGATGGATGCCACTTTTTTTCAACCCAGCAAAGCTCCCTGCGAGCAGGAGGACGTGTAGTGGGGCACTGGGTGTGTCGTGGCCTCCGCTGCATGCAGCCCTGCCGGGAGAGCCCTGCCAGGCTGCAAAAATAGCTGCCAGGCTCCTGGGGTGAAAGCCCTGAGCCCAAAGCCATGGTGGGGCCATGGAGAGGCTGGTGGGGTACACACTGCCAGGGGGACAGAGACTTTTTGGCAAGGGTGGGCCATTCTGCGAGGGGGATGGGCTGTGCACATCACTTAGAATTTCTCACGGCATTTTCTGTCCAGGGACCACCATAACCCAAACCTCTCCATCATTTAGGGGGGCAGGTCACGCCGGGGCTCCGCAGCCTCCAGGTTTCACCACCTGCCCCATGGATGTGGTGTGTTTGTCTGCGCATCCTCCCCAGATCGCCCGCTGGCAGGGCAAGAGCTGGGGCTGCTCCCCCAGCCTCTGCAAAGGTGTCAGCAGCAGCGGGGGACAGCACCAGCACGTTGCAGGGAGAGGATGGGGACTGGGTGTGGCCAGTGATTCTCTGCCACTGCTGAGATGAGTTGGATGGTCTCGGCAGGGCTGCCGCATGCACGCAGCGAGGCAAGAGCCCTGTGCCACACAGGGCTTTCTCCGTTCCCTGGAGGGTACGCAACTTCATATCCTGAGTGGCATTAAAAGGCTTCATGGGCCAGGGGCTGGGATCCCCGGGCACCCTGGAAAGGATGGTCAAGGCCTGCAGCCTCCCCAGCTGAAAAGGGAAGGGGAGGTGAAGGCAGCTCTGGTTTTCTGCAAAACTTCCTTCCCTCAGCAAGGATGCCCACGGGTGACAGAAGGCTTCCTGCACCCCAGCGGGGTGACCCAGCCTCACCAACAGCTGCGGGGCTGGGTCTCCCCCTCCATGGGTGCTCTCATAGAGATGTGGGGCCAAGCCAGGGAAGTCTGTGTGATTTCCCCTGCTCACTCCACATCATGAAACCGAGCTCAGCTGGGAGCAGAAATCCCCCCCGGACGGCCCTGCTGTGCCTTAAGCTTTCCTGTAACGTGTCTCAGAGGGAGGGCGAGTGCTGGCAAGGAGGCGGCTGTTCCTCATGGCTGGAGCTCAGCTGACGCTCAGTGGTTCATTCATGGCCGGGCTCCATTTTCCAGCTGTTTCTCTCCTTCCGTCAGCTCTCTCAGAGCAAACGGCTGTCTGGGGACTTTCTTTGAGGGATTGGGGAGAGCCCACACCGCAGCGAGTTGCAGCTATAAATGGTGCTGGTGTTAGAAAACAACCTGAGAGTTACCCTGGAAACCGGCTGTGTTTTCTGGGCTCTGTGTGTGTGGGTCTGATGACAGCCTTGATTCGGTGCACAGAAACTCAGATAAAAGCTGGTGGGATCTTGTGGGGACGGCCCAGCCCCAGTATCGTGTGACAACGGGGCACCCCCAGCAGCCGCTGAAGCTGGGATGGTGCCAGGGCTTGGGGGACTGCAGGGGGAACATTGCAGGGTGCAGCAAGGAGCATCAGCCCCACAGAGGATGCTCAGCCCATTTCCATGTATTCAGCGTTTTCTTCCCCTCCCGGTTTCTCTTCGCACTGGCAGGAAGCCGTTCGGGGACCCATCTCCGCTCCCCCCTGTGGGGTC